TTTCATATAGAGGTAGATTATTCTACGTTTCCATAAAAAAGGGTTTATTATTTTTCGCATAAGGATAGATTATTACATGCTTACATGGAAAGGATTTATTATTCTACTCATAAGGGTAGATTATTCTACGTTTACATGGAAAAGATTTATTATTTTTCATATAAGGGTAGATTGTTCTACGTTTCCATAAAAAGGGTTTATGATTGTACGTGTAAGAGTAGATTATTCTGCGCTTACATGAAAATGGTTTATCATTCTTCGTATAAGGGTAGATAATTCTACGCTTATATGAAAAGGGTTTATTATTTTTCGCATAAGGGTAAAATTATTCTACTATTTTTATAAAAGATTTTATTGTTTTTTTCAATGGTTAAATAACGATATTTAGAATGCTCATTGCTTGTAGATTCGCGGAATAAAATAATTTTGTTATGTACAGCAGACCCTCCATATCTTAAATATCGGACAGTTTTTAGCGGTAAACCGCGGTATTTATCAAAACCGGCGGTTTACCGCGGCAAACTGCAGTAACAGGAGCGCGTAACTGGATCGGTAAAACCGTGGTGAATCGGTGGTTTTTTCGAGCATTTTTATGACATGAGAAGGTACAAGAAAAAAACATTTAAAATAGCAAAATCGATGATTTGGAGCAACTAAATGTCCATGATCATCGGCGAACTGGTTAACCGGTTCACTTTAGCGATAAACCGCGGTATTCATCAAAACCGGCGATTTACCGCGGTAAATTGTAGCGATGGTAGCCTGTAACCGGACCAGTAAAACCGCGGTTAACCGCCGGTTTTCTCCCGGTTTTTACTACGAGGGACAATTGAAATGATGGACAGCATCGAAAATATAACAACGCTATTTCCAAAGTTAAAACAACAACAATTATTGTTTTTTGAGAAACGTGAAAAATTATTTACAGCCAATGATAATAATTCATTTTCAAGCATTGATTTATTATCAGTTAATTCAACAAATTTTAATCCATGTTCATCCTCTGTTGAATTACCAATTAATTCTTCCACGAATGATAATAGAAATTTTGTATTGAATTTAAAACGTCTGAACACAACATGGGGTGTTGGTCGTATGGTTCATTTCATTCAAAGTTGTGATAATCCACCACCATTAAAATATAAATCACTGCACAAGTGCATCTCACGAATATTAAAAAGAGGAACTGTTAAAGATAAAAAAAGATCTGGTCGTCCTGTAACAACTACAACATTTGAATTTCAACAAAGTGTTAATTATTATATTAAAATGAAAAAAGGTGCTTCTATTAGAAAAACCAATGCTATTCTTAAAAATGAACAATTTGAATCATCTCCAACTTCAGTTTATCGAACAACTAAACAATTAAATTTAAAATGGTATAAAAAACGAAAAGCTCAAAAACTAACTGATACTGATACACTAAAACGTATTAAATGTGCAAAAAGATTACAAACTAAATTTGGTATTACAAAAAAATCTAAAAAATGGAAATGGAATCGCGTTGTGAATTGTGATTTCTCAGGTGTATTTCCTCTTCAAGGTTTTCAAAACAAAAAAAATTATGGTTTGTGGGCCGAGAAATACGAAGAAATTGAAGCTGATTTACTTAACGCTGAAACAAATAAATTTCAACAAGGTGTAATATTTTGGGGTGCAATATCATCACAAGGTCTTATACCATCAAATGCACCAATTAATGTTACTGAATGGTTAAAACAACAACATAATTCATCTAATAAGAAAAAAAAAGAATATATTTAACAAGCCAATTGTATGCTAAATTCTTGAAAGAAAAAGTAGCTCCAGCAATCAAAACAACATTTCGAAAATCTAAATTGGATCCGATTTTTCACGATGACCAAGACCAGAAACAACAAACAAAATTAGTGATAAATACAGTAGCACAACTTTTTCATGAACGTATACAACCAGTAGATGGTGATGCTAAATTTGATGATGTATGGAGAATAGAAAATGTGTGGAGAGCACTGAAAGAAAAAGTACGTGGAGAGGTATTTAATACAACACTCGAATTAGAAGAAGAAATTCAAAAAGAATGGAAAAACTTTTCGATAGAAAAATGTGCCCAAATGATGGACGAAATACCTTATCGATTGCGACTAGTTATAGAAAATAATGGAGCTCATGTTCATATGTATTGATTTTATATTGATGTATATTTTTAAAAAATACACTGTCTTTTGTGGGTACTTTTATTGACGTTTAATAAACATAAATAATCAAGAAAATATTGAAAAATCGATCTCAAAAATTTATGTATTTAGTTTTGTCAATGTTATTTTACCACTAGTTATAGCTAGAGAGCTGAAACTTTCAGAAATAAAAGATCTTGATTAGATGTATATATGGTAAAAATTTCAGGCCTCTAGGTTGAGTGAAAGTATGAAAAATATGAATAACAAATTATCGTCAGTTATTATGAAACACCCTTTATGATTAACAATTTATCATCAGTTATTATGGAATACTCTTTATATGTGTGGGGTGTTCCTAAAAAAATTATATGAGTCTCCACACTTTCTATGCCCAAAAAAGTATTAATTGTTACTTTAGACCGTTTTCGACGATGTTACGTCTAACTAGACTATTAAAATTGAAAAAAGAACTTTCTTTCAGAACATTGGCACAGAATACCCTTCTTCCTGGAAGTGGGAGAAACTCTACGGATTCACCCTAACATGAATAACAAATGATGGATAACTTACATGCAGAAATTGCTTCATCTTGATAGTAATGTTTTATATAAAGCAGATCTTTGACAAAAGGAAGAGCTAAAAGTCATCTGA